AGGTTTAGCCATATTGTAGCATGTATCAGGACCTAATCTTTTTTTTTTTTTTTAAACGGTCTTTTTAAATTTTTTTTGTTAAAATTTTGTTTAGGATTTTATTTATTTATTTGACAGAGAGAGATCACAAGTGGACAAAGAGGCAGGCAGAGAGAGAGGAGGAAGCAGGCTTCCTGCTGAGCAGAGAGCCCAATGTGGGGCTCGATCCCAGGACCCTGAGCTGAAGGCAGAGGCTTTAACCCACTGAGCCACCCAGGCGCTCCTAAACAGTCTTTTTTTAAATAAAGATTTTATTTATCTATTTGAGAGAGAGAGAGAGAGATCACAAGTAGGCAGAACAGCAGGCTGGGTGGCGGGGTGGGGAAGCAGGCTCCCTGCTGAGCAGAGAGCCGGATGCTGGGCTCAATCCTAGGACCCTGAGATCATGACCTGAGCCGAAGGCAGAGGCTTAACCCACTGAGCCACCGAGGCACCCCCTAATCTTCCTTTATGGCTGAATAATAGTCCAGTGTGTGGAGAAACCAATTTTGGTTATCCATCAGTTGACGGACATTTGGCTTGTTTGCATTTGGGGGCTGTGATGAATAATGGTTGCCATGAACATTTGTGTCCAAGTTTTTATGTGAACCTGTTTTCATTTGGGGGGTTGCTGGGTCATCTAATAACTGTGTAACTTTTTGAAGAACTGTTTTCTGAAATGACTACACCATTTCACATGTCTACTAGCAATCTAAGAGGGTTCCGACTTCTCCACGTGCTCCCCAACATTTGTTGTTGCCTGCCTTCCTTACGAGAGCTATCCTGATGGATGTGAAGTGTTATCTCAGGGTGGTATTGAGTTGCGTTTCTCTAAGAACTAATGCTGTTGTGCATCTTGTGCATATTGGCTGTTTGTCCGTCTTCACTGGAGAAATGTCATTCAGAGTATTCAAAAATACTTTGCCTATTTTTACAATGGGTTATTTGTCTTTTTATTGTTGAGTTGTAAGAAGTCTTTGTACGTTCTTGATCCTGGACCCTTATCAGATGTGTGATTTGCAAATATTTTCTCATTCTGTGGGTATCTTTGCATTTTCTTAAAGGTATCCTTTGAGTCACAGAAGTTTTTCTATGTTGATGTTCAATATATCAATATTTTCTTTGGTTTCTTTAATTTTAACAAAGCTCAATTTATATTTCTTTTTGTTCTTTATGCCGTGGTATCATGTACTACATACAAAACCACTGCCTAACCCAAGGTCCTGAAGATTTACTCCTGTGTTTTCTTCTTAGAGCTTTATGGTTTTACCTCTTAATATTTAGGTCCATGATCCCTTTTGATTTATTTTTTTCTGTATAGTATAAGGTAGGGATCCAGCTTCATTCTCTAGCATTTGTATCTCTAGTAGTCTTCCTTCATTTACATCTTATCACTCTTTTGAAAATGAATTGACAAGAAAAAAAAAGAAAGAAAGAAAGAAAAGAAAAGAAAGAAAAAGAAAATAAATTGACCATGAATATAAAAGTTTACTTCTGGACTCTCAATTCTATTCCATTGATCTATATGTCTATCCTTATGCCAGTTCACAGTGTCTGGATTACTATAGCATTGTAGTAAGTTTTGAATCAGGAAGCATGAGTCCTTCAACTTTCTTTCTTTTTTATGAAGGATTAAAAAAAATTATTGTTTTTGTTGTTTTTTGTTTTTTAAGTAACCTCTGTCCCCAGTGGAGGGCTTACCCTCACAACCCTGAGATCAAGAGTCACATGCTCTATGGACTGAGCCAGTCAGGTGCTCCAAAGGATTTTTTTTTTTAATCCAGTGTAGTTAACACACAGTGTTGTGTTCATTTTGGTCTTTTTTTTTTTTTTTTTCAAGGATATTTTGACTATTCCATGAGTGTCACTTTAGGAGGTCTCACTGAGATAGGGTCTACTGCATAGTTTTGTAGTTCTAGGCCTTTGAAAAAATTATTGAGGTGCAATTGACATATATTGGTTTTAGGTATACAACATAATGATTCAGTATTTGTATATATTGGGAAATGATCACAGAAAGTCTAATTAACATCCATCACCATACATAATTACAAACACTTTTCCTCTGGGATGAGAACTTTTAAGATTTATTCTCTTAGCAATTTTCAAATATGCAATGCAGTATTATTAACTAGAATCACCATGCTGTACATTACATCCTCATGGCTTATTCTGTAACTGGAAGTTTGTATCCTTTTTTTTTTTTTTTTTTTTTTTTTTTTTTTTAGATTTATTTATTTGAGAGAGAGAGAATACAAATGGGAGGGGGAGAGGGCAAGGGAGAGAGAACCCCAAGCAGACTCTGTGCTGAAGGCAGAGCCTGACATAAGGCTTGATCTCACAATCCTGAGATCACAATCTGAGCCGAAACCAAGAGTTGGCTGCTCAAAACCACTGCACTACCCAGGCGCCCTGGAAGTTTGTGTCTTTTGACCCTCTTCACCCATTTTCCCCACCCACTTCCCCCTCCTCTGGTAGTCTGTTTTCTGTATATATGAGCTTAGCGGGGCTTTTTTAAAATTTTTTTTAAGATTTCACATATAAGTGAGATCATGTGGTATTTGTCTTTCTCTGTCTGACTTCACTTAGCCTAATACCCTCAAGGTCCATGTATTGTTGGAATGGCAAGATTTCATTCCTTTTTATGGATGAATAATATCCCATTATATATACATACCACATTGCCTTTATCTGTTTCTCCATTAATAGACACTTAGGTAGGGGTACCTGGCTGGCTCAGTCAGAAGAGTGTCCATTCGACTCTTGATCTCAAGGTCATGAGTTCAAGCCCCACACTGGGTATAGAGATTACTTAAGTAAGTAAATAAACTTTAAAAAAAAAAAAAGTTACACTTGGATTGTGTCCATGTCTTGGCTATTGTAAATAATGCTACAGTGCACGGTGGTTGGGGGCAGGGTGCAGATATCTTTTCAAGCTAAAGGTTTTGTTTTCTTCAGATTAAAAACCTAGAAGAGGAATTGCTGGCTCATTTGGTAGTTCTATTTTGAATTTTTGAGGAACCTCCATACTGTTTTCTATAGTGGCTGCACCAATTTACATTTCCATCGACAGTGCACAAGGGTTCCCTTTTCTCTGTTACTCTCAACACTTACTTCTTGTCTGATAATAGCCATTCTAACAGGTCTGAGGTGAGTTTTGGGATCTTGAGTTTATCAGTTTCCCACAAAAGTGAACAGAGCACTGGTTCCTATTCCTCAAACTTGCTAGAAAATGTCATTCGATGTATGCGTTTTGGGATATTCCTTTTTTGGTGTCCTTACCCAAAATGCCCGTGGGGCAGTTCCCCCTTCTAAGATGCCAAATTCCTAACCAGGAGGTTGCTTGCTAAATATGGAATTCAAAACTACTGCTTAAAGGAGGAATGTAATGTAATGGTTAAGAGTTTCAGGCTTTAGGACCAGCCAGCTCTAAGTTTGAATCCTACCTCTGCCACTCAGTGATTGTGTATCCAGAGCAAGATTTTAAACCCTATTCATCTGTACAGTGGGAAAATTCAGCCCTTCCTTATAGAGTGGTTGTGAAGTAAAGTGAAATAATAAATGTAAACCCTTAACATACCACCAAGGACTAATGGTACCTGTTGGGCTTGTGGAATGTTTCCTTCAGAGTGTGGAGAACCCCTCTTTGTCATAGCACAGGCTTTCTGGTGCCTTGAATCATTGTGTCTGCAAATAGAGGACCTTTTTGGTTTGAAAGGCAATGAATAGAACTGGAGCCAGTTTTACTCTAGAGTGGGATAGAGGGACCTGGAGAGCATTAACACCACTTGCCTCTGGATATTCCATTGCCTGAAGGAAATGGTAGGCCAGTGTTGCTAGATTTTGTTGTTATTGATGATAATTGACTTTTGTTCATTTAAATTGCAGAGGGTAGGGGCCACCTGGCTGGCTCAGTCAGAAGAGCATGCAGGTCTTAATATCAGGGTCATCAGTTCAAGCCCCACATGGGGTGTAGGGATTACTTAAATAAATAAAACTTTTAAAAAATAATTAAAATAAATTGCAGAGGGTAGTATTTGCTGATCCAGCCTCTTAATTCTGGGATTTAGAGCCATCCTTTGCAATAACTTCTTCAGAGTCCATATATGCAGAAACCTCAGTTACTGAGAATACCATTGAGATTTAACAAATAAGTTGGAACAGTCAAAATAGATATCACAAAAAGTCATGCACTTCAGCCATAAGAGAATCCTACAGAAAATTTTTACTCAAAACCCAAGAGTCTCGGGGACCTGGGTGGCTCAGTGGGTTAAGCCTCTGCCTTCGGCTCAGGTCATGATCTCAGGGTCCTGGGATCGAGCCCCACATCAGGCTCTCTGCTCGGTGGGGAGCCTGCTTCCCCCTCTCTCTCTGCTTGCTTCTCTGCCTACTTGTGATCTCTCTGTCAAATAAATAAATAAAATATTTAAAAAAAAAGACAACCCCGAGTCTAAACTAATAAAAATTTATCAGTGTGTATTCATAGTAGAATAGAAGCAGAAAGAAAGAAAGAAAGAAAGAAAAGAAAAAGGAAGGAAGGAAGGAGACTATTAGGTGGAAAAATAGAGAAATGTCAGTCCAGTAGTGAGGAACAAGACATAGCAAAAGATGGATGTAAGTTTAAAATAATAACAGCTTTCTAGAGAATTTTTCATTAGGGCATTTTTCATTAGGGCAAACAGGTCTACATACTTCTGAGGGCATTCTTGATCATAATAGAATACAGTAATGCCCATAATGATGCTCTTTACGCACCAAGTATAAGTAATGTTCAAAGATTCAAGAAAACGTAAATTTTCTTGGGGAGAAAAGTTCTGTAAAAAGTAGCTGAAGTTTTAAACAAAATACAGAATGTCTTATTCTCTAACATCTCTAAATGAGCTGTTACTGGCCTTAAATTTGATTGAACAGGTTGAATTTGCAAACAGAAGCAGTATTCAAATAAGAAGTAGTGTAGGGAGCTCCGGGGGTGAACCGTTTCTGTGCATTCTTATGCTAGTATGTGGTTGTTATTAAGTATCCTTGAGAGGAATCAAAGCTGTAATTGTAACTTCTTTCTCAGCAGGGTTCCCTCCCAGCCCTTCCCATATCTGAGCTAAATAGACTTGTGTTGATCCACCCTGGAGGGCCTGCGCCGGGGCATATAAAGAATGAAATTACCTGGTAAACTAGCACTCTGTATACCGTAGCTATTACCCTCTGGTCAGGCATAAACAAGCACAGTGACATTGCTCTATGCTTCTTAGTGGAGTCTGAAATTCAAGAGTTTTCTGTCCACTGTAAGATGAATGCTAAATGTCACCCACAATGGATTTGAAACGGTAAACAGTTTCCAACAAACATAAGGTAGACAGACTGAAGTCCTAGCATCCCATTATTTTGTCTATCTCTCATTCTCGCTTTAATCAGGTATTAAAGCCAGACCAGAGTCTGAAAGGCATCCGTAGAATTTTAGAGCTGGAAGGCTTTTAGGAAATTTGTCCAGCCTCTTCGTTTTACTGAAGGGAAAACCGAGGCCCTGGGACATGTTATGATTTAATGTAGGTCACACAGTTAGAGACAGAGCGAGAGGGAACCCAGGTGTCCCCACACCTTCGTTGGACAGTGGTTTTCTAGTAGGCCACCTACTCCTAGACCAGTATCCCTCCCTCCTTTCCTCCCTCCCCCCCGTTTGTTCTTTCTTTCCCTTCATAGCTGTGCGAATCAGAACGTGGGCCTGAACATCGGGAAGACTAGGTGTCAGCCCCAGCTCTCCACCACTTGAGGTGCGCGCTCGCTCTCTCTCTGCATCAGGACTTGGGGCTGGGTCTCTCCTAAGCCTGGCGCCTTCTCCTTGGCAGGTGCTTAGCACCTGGGCTGAATCGCTGCATCATCGCGGCGCCACTCTCCTTGCTCCGGATTTTACAGCACGGGCGTGTGTCAGGGCGGTGTCAGAGCGTAAGGAGGACGCGGGTCCGAATCCACGCCTTTGAAAAGGGAGGCTCAGGACACCGTCTCGGTTCCCGGTTGGCCCCGGGCTGGCGGAGAGATGCCCAGCGCGTGAGTGACCTCGGCGCCGACCCCGCCACTGGTCAGCTCGCGGCCGGGGCGTGCCTGCCGGGCCTGACGTGGCGGCTGGGCCGCGGGGAGGGGAGAGGCCGTCGCGAGGGCGCGGCCTGACGTGGCGGCCGCGGCAGGGCGGCTGGGCGGCGAGGGGAGCCCGGGCCACTGCACTGCCCCGCGCTCCGGCCAGAGGGCGCCCGGCCCCAACACTTCCCCGCCCCGAGGCCGCCCGGGGCTCCAGCAGTAACCGCACCGGCGATTGGGTCGGCGGCGCGGCGGGGCCATGTTGGAGCGGGGCGACGACCCCGCCTCCCGCCGCCCTCCGTCCCGGGTCGGGCCGGGCCGCGAGGCAAGCGGAGCGGGGAGAGGGACCCTCCCTCCCAGGTCGCCCGACGCTGCAGGAGCGGCGGCGGGAGCGGCCGCAGTCACAGCCGCCCCTCTGAGCCCCGGCCAATCAGCGGCGCGGGCACAAATATGCAAATGACGCGCCGGTGCTGCCGGAGTGCCGCTCGCAGGGGCTGGTGGGGTCGCGCTGGGGGAGTGAACTGGGCCAATCAGGCGGGTGCGTGGCGGCGCGGGGGAGGCGGTGCCCCTTCACTCCTCCCTCCTCTCCCTCCCGGCCCCGCGCTGACAGGGGGGCCTGGCCGCGCCGCCGGTAAGTGCCGCCGCCGCCCGCCGTTGCCACCCGCCGCCCCAGGCGTTGGGAGGAAGCCCCGGGGCACCGCGGGGCAGCGGCTGCTGCTCAACTGGTGGGGAGAGGCGGGGGCGGGTTCTGTCAGCCGGGTGGTCGCCTGAGGCCGCCCCCGCCCGGCCAGCCGCGCGTGTCAGTCTCGGTCGAGGCGGGGGGCGGCGGGGGCGCCTCAGTCATGGCGAAGCCGGAGAGCCAGCGAGCGGCGGTGAGTACGTGCCGCCGCCGCCGCCGCTCCGCCGGGGGGGTCGGGGCAGGCCGGGCCGCGCCGCCGCCGGAGGTGAGGGGCCCGCGCCCGGGGACCACGGGGAGGCTGGGGAGGGGGCGCTGCCCGCACGTGCGGCCCAGCCCGCCTGCGGCCCGCCCCGCGCCTGTCATGGCTGCGGGCTGCTGCCCCCGCCCCCCCCGGCCCGCAGACCCTGGGGTCGGGACCTGGCCGCCGCGCCTGTTGCGTCGGGCGGAGGTGAGGGCAGGGTGGGCAGGGCCCCGCTTCCCCGCCCCGCGCGAGGTCGGGGCCTCCCGGTCCGCCCGCTTCCCTCCCGAGGGTCGGGCTTCCCTCCATCCTGCAGCCTCTTCCCCCGCCCGCCTGCTTTCTCGCCTCCGTGACTCATGACAGGGCGTCCCGCGCGAGCACTGGGTGTCCCCGAGCCCGGGACGCCCCCGGCGCTTTCCCGGGCCTTGCCTGCCGGGTTACGACCGCACTGCCTTCCCTGTGATCCTTCGCCCCGGAGGGGCAGCCCCGAGGGTCTCTCCACGTCTGCAGCGGGGCCCGGACCCCGCGGCTGCTGCCGATTTCTTGGGCTCTGGGTGTGGGACGTGATGGGTGGTTCCAAGGCTGTCTTCGCGGACATCCATCCCCAAGCCAAGCACGACCCGGAAAGCCTGGGTGTCTTACTGGCCTGTCGTCGCAGTCGCCAGCTCAGAGTGCTTTCTGTTTGTTCCTTTTTTGGTTCTGTTTTGCCTTTTTTTCTTTCTTTTTTTTTTTAAGAAAAATAAAACTTTTCGGAACAAAGTAGACAAAAAAATTTCTTAAATTGTGATATTAACAATGTTACATAGTTACTTTCCTGGGAGTCTGGGATTTGACACTACTGTGACTTTTCTCCATTATGTGAAATACTCATAACTACCTAAGGATTGCCCCGTATTAAATAAAGTTTATTTTCATTAATAAAATCACTATCACAATTTAGTTTCTCAGTTTTGCATGCTACTTTTCACCTTTTCCTTTTCTCTGATTTCAAACTCCAGTTCTACTTAACCAACTAGGATCTTTTAAAAAAGGGCTTACCTTGTGTAATGTTACTCTACCTAAACTGTGCATAATTGTACAGGTACTTTTTTAAAAGAAGGGCTAGGTCTGCAAACACTTAACTGTACAGAAGGTACTTACCCCGTGGGGGTGGGGATTCCACACTGCAGAGGGAGGGAGGGTGTCTGTGTGTGTGTGCGCGTGTGTGTGTGTGTGCACGAGTGCGTGTTTTAGTTTTGGGGGGAGGGGGTTTCAGTGCAAAAGGATGAACATAGTGTTTCTTCATTTCTGTTAGATTTACAGAACTTGAAATTAAGTGGGACTTTGTGCTATTAGCAGGGAGCCTTCCATACGATAGATACTGGATAAATATTTGCTCTAAGCAAGTTAAACATGAATTCTGTATCTTCCAAGACTGTGTCTGCTTTACTGCTTAGACACTTCACATTAAGTAGCTATAGTGTTCTACAACCTTTAGCAGCTTGGTGAGTTTCCTGTAAACTACAGGTCACGTAATACAGACATGATATGCTCTGGGGGGAAAAGTAGTTGCCTCCCAGATTTGATTGATATATCTTTGTCATTCTGGACAGTTTCAGGAGAGTGGGTGTTGTAAAGTTAAAAAACAAAAACCTTGTGGTTGACGAACTAGGAGAAGATGATGTCCTAAGAACATAAGAAATAGCATTAGGGAAAATATGCTGGTGTAACTGGTAAAACCTTCTTGGAAGAAGTTCTGATTGGAGAGAATCAGAACTTTGTCACTTTACTAGGTGTATAGCTGTAGTCAGATTTCTTAACCTCTGTGAACCCAAGTTTTTTTGAATTTTACAGTTCTCCAAATCTGAATATCCCATTAGATCTGTCCTTTGAAATATAAAAGTTATATCTGGTTTTAGGTATAAGAAAAGGCAGAGGTTTTGAAACAAACAGTGGTAAGCTGGCCTTACCCTAAAAGAACATTTTTAAAAGAATAAGCTCAAGTGGGCAGGTATGAATAAAGAAAGCAGTATTGTTAAAGAAAGAAAAAAAAAAAAAAACTCATGACAAGATTGGATTAATAAAATCCTAAAATTTTGAACTTGGAAGTATCTTTAGAGACCTTTAACTCCAAATCCCTTTTCTAATGTAACTGAATACCTTCTATAAGACATTAAACTAGATTGGCAGTTTACCTGTGGAAACCAGGTAGAACTAAAGGAAGGGCTTACTGTATAAATTTAGGAGGTAGGAACTGGGGAAGCATTACAGACTTAGAGGTAAAATTTATTGTAGTTTCAGTAGTAAAATAAAAATTTTGGTACATGTGAACATTTTGGATACCCTGAAGGGTTATATGTGTTAATTGCTCATATAAATGTAGTGGAAGAAAAAGTCAGTGAAATAGTTGAAGAAGACAAAAATGAAATCTTAGAGAGGTTAAAGTATAAAGGAAACTGAAGTAATAGATCTACTGGGAAAATTCCATTATATATCAGGATAGTGAATACAGAACATTGGTAAGAATATGGAAATTTAAGGCATTTGGTTAGAGTGAAAATTAATCATGAAACTAATATTGTCATAACATTTGAAAAACTTTGAAAACCAAAAAATTGGAATCAGAAGAGATTTATGGACACTGAGGAGACAGAATGATTTTGTCGTAACCTTTTAAATGTCTTGTAGCTATTGTGGTCTTAGGGTGATTAACCAGTCTTAACCATTCAGATTCCTTACATGATAGAAGATTTAGCTTTTTTACACTTACTTACTTTGTGAATATAAGTTGCCACATTCCAGTTTTATTACTGCCTTCTGACACTGTGTTTCCTTTTACTTGTTTGGGCTTCCCTCCCATCCATTCTACCCCTGGATTTGAAACCCCAGTTTTACCAGTCTGAATACTTGGGTCAAATTCCACCTTGCAAATAAGATCATTTCTTGTCATTGTAGCCCTTAGGGATTTCTCCTTCCCATGAGACCATAGCATTACTATTTGTCTCACTTATTTGACATCACGTAAAACTTCCTGACCTTATCTCCACTGTATTTCTTTTAATTTTGTGGGAACACCTTTTGCTCCTCTCTTTTAGAAACAGTTGGAAAGCTATTAAGTGATAAGGAAAAACTCAGAGAAGGGAAAGCCACTTTGAGCTGTAATTCATTCTCTGAACTCCAGGTCACTCACATCCATTCGTTCATTAAACAGATTAATTTATTGATTCCTTTATTAATCAATTTATTATATAACTATTAAGTGATTCCTACCGTGTAGAATTTATAGTCTAATAGTGGAAACAGATAAGTAAATAACAGGGAAAGTAAATAGCAGGGAAACAGGGCAAGTAAATAACAAATGTAAAATTACAACTTGTAGAGAATTCAATAAAGGAAGAGACTAGACTGCTGTGAAAAAAATTTTTTTTCACAGGAAGATTGTAGATTGTGTGGTCAGAAACGTCTCTCTCAGGTGGTGGTATTTAAGTTGAGACAAAAAATAAGCTAGATAGGGAAAGACTTTCTTGGAAAAGAAAATATGTATGAAGGCAAGAAAGCTTAATATGTTGGAAGAAATGGGGCACCTGGGTGGCTCAGTGGGTTAAAGCCTCTGCCTTCAGCTCAGGTCATGATCCCAGGGTCCTGGAATCGAGCCCCGCGTTGGGCTCTCTGCTCAGCAGGGAGCCTGCTTCCCTTCCTCTCTCTGCCTGCCTCTCTGCCTACCTGTGATCTCTGTCTGTCAAATAAATAAATAAAATCTTTAAAAAAAAATATGTTGGAAGAAATGAAGGAAGTTCAGGGTGGCAGGAGTATAATAGAGGAAAACCATGCAAGGTGAGAGATAGGCAGAGAGCAGATCATACAGGACCTTACAGGGCATTTTGAAGACCTGGATTTTACTAAGGATGTTGCAATCAATGAAGATTTTGAAGTAGGGGAGTACTGTGCTTCAGATTTCAAGAATGACACTTTGGTTAAGAGTGGATTAGAGAAAGGCAAGGATGAAAGCAAAGACTACTACTACACTTGTTGAGGTAAGATGATGATGGCTGGCACTCGGGTAGCAATATCATCTGATTTGATAAAGAGAGACAGAGGAAATGGGAATGGCAGGGGCATTGACAACTTCATGATGGATTAGATATTAAAGGGAAGATGTCAAAGTGACCTCCAGGTTCCCGGCTTGAGGGCCTAGAAAGATGATGGTGAGATTTACTGAGATGAACATGGGGAGAAGAAAAGGTTTGGCAAGAAATTAAGTTTTGAACACCATTCCCAGGCAAGACCTTTGGAAGGTAGAAGGCTGGGGGTGGTGGGCTACCTTTATCTGAATGATAGTGGTCTCCGTTGGAATAGGTTTAAATTATGTATATGGCACCATATTTCAACGTACTTATAAGGTGTGTTTTGAGACGAGCAAGCTTCATATTTGTGTTAGAAAAATTGGTAACTGAAATGATCTTTTTAACAATACAGTTTTTGAAAGTTTATTTGTGAAAATTTTCTTAATACAGCTTTTATTAGATAAGTTTTGAGAAAAAAATCCGTAGTATTAGATGGGTTTTGATATTATTTGGGTGATGGTGCAGAATTCAGAAGTCTTACAATATTGATGTTCTCAAGAAACTGGCACTCTTTAAAGTTATTAGCTTGTAGGCAGCCTGATAGTATATTTATCATTTTTAATGAGGCTTCTGGTGTTTATGGGTAAAAATTATAAGTGCAGGGGAGGCCTGGGTGGCTCAGTTGGTTGGACGACTGCCTTCGGCTCAGGTCATGATCCCGGAGCCCCGGGATCGAGTCCCGCATGGGACTCCCAGCTCCACGGGGAGTCTGCTTCTCTCTCTGACCTTCTCCTCGCTCATGCTCTCTCTCACTGTCTCTCTCTCAAATAAATAAATAAAATCTTTGAAAACAAAATTATAAGTGCAGGCCATTAGGAGCTATTATTTATCAAATAATTATAGATACCAATGTTTCTGTTATAATTTGTCATTAACTTAGCAAATAATATCTTTTTTTTTACTGTACTTTGAAAACTTTTTTTAACCAGTAATTTTAAATATTGTTATTGCCACAAAGGGACACAGTTGAAATCTGAAGAGAAAAAAAAGAAAGATTATTTTTCTTATTCAGTGGTCATTTC